CATACATACATACATACATACATACATACATACATACATACATACATACATACATACATACATACATACATACATACATACATACATACATACATACATACATACATACATACATACATACATACATACATACATACATACATACATACATACATACATACATACATACATACATACATACATACATACATACATACATACATACATACATACATACATACATACATACATACATACATACATACATACATACATACATACATACATACATACATACATACATACATACATACATACATACATACATACATACATACATACATACATACATACATACATACATACATACATACATACATACATACATACATACATACATACATACATACATACATACATACATACATACATACATACATACATACATACATACATACATACATACATACATACATACATACATACATACACACACACATACACATACAGCCAACTTTTTGTTGTCCTTTTTGTTTTCATTGAATGGTGATTATAGATGTTTCAGGGAACCTTTTCATCTTTATTTGTAGGTATTCTGTCTTGATATAAAAACTGACTATTGCAAAATGTGTTTTTTAGTTCATTTGAAGAGACATTAGTTTGAAAAAGTACTACAGACATGTCGACTCATGACGTGCTGTAGTGCCTAGAACGTAGTGTATTTAAAACTCTATAACTCTGTGAAGTAAACCGACAGTTGATTGAAGTGCACTCATGATATGATCACAGCTGAATCTTCAGTACATTGATGGTTTGCTTATAAACAGGGGAGATTTTGTATTTAGAAACTAGTTCATTGAAGAAATGGATGGAAATATTATTATCTTACAACTTAATGAAAATGGGGTTTGTGCATTATGTTACAGTTTAAAGCACTTTTAAGCCATTTTCATATTATTTGATTGGATGTTATTTAGCATTATTCGATTGGATATTGTTTGGTGTGGCAGCTTATTACCTCCAGGTCATTGATTATCAGTTGGAAAAAATTAAACTTTATACATCTGCTTTAACCAGCAAGAGAGAACTGATGAGCATATAAAACAACAGATCTGCAAATGATACATATGATATATATGTGCCTAGTTGTTTTTACAGCAAGTCTTTTACGGCATTTGCTTGTTTTTTTAATAATAACAGTGCTTCTGTATAGTCAAATGATATAGTTCTAGTTGTTCTCAGAACAATTCCTAAAGCCACAACATTTTCCCCCTTTTTGTGAGAATGATAAGACTGCTGAATATTCTTGTGTAATAAGAAATAAATACATACACTTTACTGATGATACGAAATATGACCCTTCACACACAGTATTGATACTAGTTTTATAAAGCAATTTTAATTATCCACTCTTTAGCATTTTTGTAAGATAACACATAACTGTATATTACAGTAAAAATATTTGTAATTTTGCAATTCTGAAGAACAGAGATGTAAGAAAACTTTTAATGTTCCCTTTTTATTTTCCAGCTGGGAAAATGGACCCATACATCAAGAGATGTTGTGCTACAAAGATACAGTCAGCAGAGAAACTTATGTACATTTGCAAGAACCAGCTAGGTAAGAAACTTTAACTTTGCAGTTGAAAATGTCAATGTAGACACTGCGTTTATGACATTAGCACATTTGGTAGACAGAAATCGAGGACGAATTCGTATTGTTCCCTTCTATGAGGCAGCCAGACATAGAAAGGAAATTCTAGATTTGGCGACAGATGCCTTCCAAAGATTAGTGCGCACTCATGTTCTGGACTACCGGTCTGTATGGGCCTCAACTAGTAAAAAACTTGCTCAAAGCCCTGATTTTGTACACTATGTGGACCTCTTTGGTATGGACCAAGCGGCCAAACTGTTCCGTCGACACGTCAAGAAGCTCAAAGACGAATACCTCCAGAGAAAAGTGGAGGCGTACATGGACATGCTGCCATCCATCCTGCGAGAATTCTTCCCAGATCTGCAAAGTTTGGAGGACGGGTGAGTTTGCTACTTGGTGAAAATTGCTAGGGTGTCATCTTGAATTTATTTACATTTTTTCTGTATATTTAAACTTAAGAGATATTACTGAAGAGCTTGTCACAATAGTTGGGTTTTGGATGGTACAGTAACTATAGCTTTGTGTGTGCATTATGAAGTTTATATTTATGTGCTGTGTTATTTGGCAAATATTTCTGATGTACAATTTATATGTATATTTAGAGAAGGTATTCGTTTAATAGCCTGATGGTTTAACTATGTGATGGATTTTCGAGTGGGATTAACTAATTATTGTGGGCAATAATAGCTTAAGTTGTTTATTTATTTGTATACTGTATTTATATTTGGTTTGCAAATATTTGATTATGGAAGACAGAGAATAGGCTTTATCAAATGTTTTTTTTTTAATTGGTTCTGGGACTTGTTTACTATTATATTTTTTGATAGATGCTAGGACACTTGGAGCTATAAAAAGTGTATTCCTTCTA